TGGGCTTTTTATTTAAGTTCAACAGTGACCTCCTCTCTGCTCTGGCACCTCGGTTGTTGACTGTAAAGAGAGGACGCCGGCAGGAGTGTAGACATGCTGGGTGAAAATTCACAAAAAGACTCCTTTTCAGAGGTTTTCACATTGGGAAAAAATTGACGTAATACTGCTGGTGGCTGCTGAGGTGTAGAGAAGCAGATAGGTGTTGGAAGGTAGAAAAGTACCTTGAAGTGTGTGGTTTCCTCATCACCTCCCCAGAAGCCCTGTATATCAGCTAACATGTCCGGCAACAGCTAGCTTTAGCGTTTCATGCATTATCACCGTCTATTATCGAAGCATTGCATCCTAAACATCGTGTCCCTCTATTATATTATCATATCATGTCACATATTCAGCAGCTTATGTAAATCTACAATTCTGTGTACTAGAGGAATGGTCAAGAAGCCATATTAAACATTTGCATTCATCATCTGTCAATCAAGTTTGACCAAAAAGTGTTATTCAGATCATAGAAGGGCAAAAATCTGAAACATTACAATACTTTGCGTTTTCATTCTATACGAATTTGGTCCGTTATGGGACACTAAACTTTCCACTGAAGCTTTAAGTGGTAGTCATATAAACAGAGACTAGAGTCTACATTAGCAGCTCTGTGAGGCCGTATGTACATGTAGGCACAGTGTTGTTAAATGTTAGCGCTAATGTAAGCATGCTAACATGTTCACATTAAAATGCCAACATGCTAATGCTTTGCAGGTATAGTGTTTACCATGTTCACCATATCTTAGTTTAGCATGTTAGCATGCTAACATTTGCTAACTAGCACTAAATACAAAGTATGAGGCTGATGGGTTATTGGTATTGCAGGTATTTGGTCATAAACCAAAGTGTTAGAAACTTTAGAGTGTTGTCCTGGTGGTGATAGAGGAAAAGTTAAGGGGTCACCAGAGTATTTTTTTGTGTTAACACTACGAGCGACAAAAATAACCAAACGGCCAAGCAGGCCCAGCTAAATTGTCGCAGTGTTGTCGTAGAAGTGTTTCTCACGCCCTTGTTAACGTAGTCATATAGTTAAATAGCTCTGGGAACTGGCTTACATACATTTTTGTAGATAAGAGTGAACAGGGTAAAATGAAAATATGATTGGGTGACTCTTCATCGCATTATTGGAGTTAGACTTTGATTTTAGCGCATCACGCCCGTCCCGCAGCAACAAGTGTCAGGAATTAGTTTATAGCTTCATGACATCGGCTTCCTTATGACTTGAAGAAGGTTGTTGTGTCACTCGTGGTGTCAACACAGCATGAGGGATTCATTCTTGGGGGAACATGACTGTCTGTATAAAATATTATGCTAGTCAAGACGCTTGCGTGGCTAAAAAACTACAACTACAGCATTGCCAATAATAACTAGCATTATAATAGGACCCTTTCACAGCAGCCATTTTCACATGTCATAGCAGGGTAAACACAAACCCTACTGCTCATCCTACCAGCTGCCCCAGATGTAACGTTGTATGTTTTAACCTGGAAAAAATGCAGGAGCACAGCTTCTGCCCTTGGTGGTCTTGAAAATGTCATATTTGCTTAGTGTTGGAATAACTATCCGGCAGAGGGGAGAGACAGTCAACATTGAGTCATTTTACATTTTACAGCCTGCCCACACACATCTGCTCACGTGTATCACACCCCCGACCTCAGCAGCAGCTTCACCCAACCCTCCATCCCACAAGATATATTACTGTAGCTGATTACTTTCACCTATAGCCAGACATTAAGTCTTTGATGTGTTTATTACAAAGCCAAGTTCACAGGTTCCAGGAAGGAGAGTAAAACAGCTGTTGATTGTATACCTTCTCTTTCCTCAAAGCACTTACAACTCAATGCCCCATAAATTACTTTGCTGATATGTTACGGCAGAATTTGTGTTTGGGTTACTAAATAACCAAGTCAGTTAGGCAGCTGTTATTGCAGAAACAAGCCATTAGTCATTACCATAAAATAAAATGAGTAGTCATAGAAAGAGTCTTACACACGCCCTCTCTGTCTTGAAAATGTTATTGAGCAGGAGCCTCTTCCTGCTGGATGGACATCTGTATATACAGTTGTGTGAAAAAGTGTTTGCCCCCTTCCTGATTTCTTATTTTTTTGCATGTTTGTCACACCTAAATGTTTCAGATCATCAAACAAATTTAAATATTAGACAAAGATAACACAAGTAAACACAAAATGCAGTTTTTAAATGAAGGTTTTTATTATTAAGGGGGAAAAAAAATCCAAACCTACATGGCCCTGTTTGAAAAAGTGATTGCCCCCTAAACCTAATAACTGGTTGGGCCACCTTTAGCAGCAACAACTGCAATCAAGCGTTTGCGATAACTGGCAATGAG